AGGGTCTATTACACTTACACTGTGTAAATCTCATATATTATGAATGCTCACTACATATGATAAAGTACTTGAAATTCTACATAATCATTTTTCAAAACATGACCAATAAAACCAGAGAAGAAAGTTTATAGGCTTAGTCATTTTAAAGATTTGATAACTTAAACTTAGGAAGCTTCTTAGAAGGTCTTTTTCACTACAGAAGGTGAATGAAGGAAAACAAAACACTATCTGAGGAAAGAAAATAAGCAGAATGCAGGATGAACATGTGTCTCTGTGAAAAATTGATGAGGTATCACAAAGGACAGAAATGAGAACACCAAAATGTACATAGCAGTTGAGGTTAACTTCAGTTTAAAAGGACAGGATTCTGTTGAGCTCTATACATCTTTACCACAACTTGCCCATGTTTACAGAAATCTTGAGCAAGAGCACAGTGCTCACCTCTCACAGGTGATTCTGCTAAATCTGTACCAGGTATTACTCAAAGAACCAGGCAGCTTCCAGTGCACAGGAGACTGACACTTGCATCAGAAATCCAGCATCAATAGTGATTTGCAAACTGACAGCAGCTCATAACTCAGATGGGGTATTACTGTACAGCAGACGCAGTGCATTTGAAGTTTGCTCTGGGTAAGGGAATTAGGGAATTAGGACTTGCAATATATCAGAACCTACTATGCCATCCCAAGAGTTGGCTTCATCCCAAAGTGTTATCAGTTTGGGTGCTCTGACAGCATAGTCTGGTGAGCAAATTGATTTTGAAGAGAGATCAGAGAACCATATTCACAGAAATATCTGGGGCCCACAACAACTGGATAAAATCTTTGTAGGCAATAATTGGTGAACAGAGAAAACCATTTTAATTTCTGAATATTATTTATACAGGATGTCTCATCAAAGGGAATATTCTTACAAAAGATTAGAAAATATCATAAATGAAAAATAATAAAAAAAGAAATCCTAAGTTAGAACAAAAGAGTTCTTTAAGAGTTGCAGAAGTTGAAGAAATTGTAGAACCTAGAAGTAATTTAGGTTGGGTGCTGAGTACCTTCCACAATAAATCAATGAATTAAAGATATATGACACTGTGTGTAAGTGGATACCCTAAAACTGGACAATAACTTCCTTGCCTTCTGCTAGAAGCATACAGCAATTGCAGTGATTTCTTGTCTTTTGTAAAAGGCAGAGTTTGCATTTCAGAATGTACTTCACCAACCTAATTGCCACAAAGCAACTGAAACATACTTTAGAAAATATTGATATTCATAGGACACATGTAACACTTGTTTACTTATAATGTCAATATTTTTAGATTTAAAAACAAACAAACAAAAACAAACCCATATACCACATACAGCTGGCATACCAGTTTTTAAAAGTTCATGAAAACCAGACTCCTTTTCCAAACATCACTCTCTTTTTTAGGAGAAAAAAAAAAGACATAACATGAAAAAAAAAAAAAAAAAAAGGACATAAATTACTGAAATGAGATCCAGGATGACTGGATAGAAAATATACTCTATATATAGTGCAGAAAGATGCTGAAGCTCTCTGTACCTTACAGCTTTCTTTCAGCTTCCTAAGACTTACTGTGGGTATGGGGAGCCACCCTTTGGTCATCACCGTAAATGCAAAATCAATAAAACCTACCACTTACGTTTCCATGCTTTCACAAGGATTCCTAGCAATTTACACTAGCTTGATTTATGATAGCTTAAAAATTTATTGTTAATACAGAGAGGTATCCCAAGAATCATCTCTGGTTTAACACCATTTAGAGTGTGTACCTTACCTTATAGCAACAACAGGGATGATTAATCTCTGTGCAAGGGTTTTCAGCATGTTACCCTGTGCCTTCTGTTCTTGCTTATGTTACTAACACAGATCAATTCCCAAAAATTCAGAATATCTGTAGTATCTTTTCATACTAAAATGAGGATTAGATGAAACAAAATACATTTGTTGTCTTGTAGACTTCCCTTCCAATTCTCTCCCAGAATTACATAAATGAAAAGGTTGTATGTGTAGTAGAAATTACTTCATTCATTACTGTGATTGACAAACAGATCAAGATCAACAAACTGGTACCATTCCATTTTGACAAAACGGGCTGAATAATGATGTAGCAAGATAAAAACCTCAAAGAACGGAAAACGGACATTAAGCTCAGGAAAGGTCAACTGACAGGGCAAAAAAGGAAACCTATGGAAACTGGCCAGAGAGATTAAATTTAAGCCCCACACAACTCTTATTTCACACTGAAAACCACAAGCCGTTCCCGGAAAGGAAGAAACTATTATGTTCTCTGTTAGCCTTGATCTGAGCAAGCTTTTTAAATGCTCCTCTATTTTATGGGAAGGACTAAAGTTCCCAGAGGTTTTCCATTTACTCCTCCCTTAAGACTTTAGAGGCTGTTGTTCTTTCTGCTCTCAACTTCAAATCATCTTCTACCATGTGCAGCTTTTACTGGTCATTACCTAGTGGAATCAGTCCATGAGACAGAAGATGAAAAGGGGATATGTAAACACTGGATATTCCAGGCACAGTAGGAAAGCAACAGTTCTGAATTTGGATGCATACTTGAGAACACTAAGGAACTTAGACAAACTATAGACTATTATATGATCAGGAAAAAGGAGAGAAAGGAGAGAGAGACTGGAAGCAGATATCAGTTTGTAGTTATGGCAATTAACACAGAGCATTATTTGCTACCTTCCATCCTGACACCTATCAAGAAGCAGTTTTCATAAGCAAGAGAAATTACAATACTGAGCACATATATGTATGTATATATTATATATATATAATATATGCATATATATAAAACCTATACCAAATAAACAATTTATGTTCCACAGGGTCAAAATTCCCACCCACGTATTGCATTTGGGGATGCAGATGCAAGAAAGTTGAATAATTGCTTCAAGGCCACACAGTAAGTAAATGTGGGACAGGATTAACATTCTGGAATTTCCAGTCAATTAAACTTCAGATTTATATTGCTGTCATTCAAAATAAGATTATTTGTCTTTAATTTAGGACTTCTTTCTCAACAACAGAGAACACAGAAGACACTAGATCATTGAATAACATTTCCATTAGCTAAGAGGCAATTTTTAATTACTTACTATTAGGGAGTCCCAACCAGTCTCTCTTGCCCAGGAACGCTCAAGAGTGCCTTACATGAAATATTAAAGTAATGGTAAGAAAATGAGAAGGATATGGGACAGTCGTAATATTTTTTTTTCCCTGAGGATTGGAGGGCCACCCACACTGCATACTTCATTTTTTCTTAATTTAGTTTAATATTAATAAGCTTTTGTAATACAGTCCACTTTTAGCATTATTACAGCCCGATAATACAACTGAACTAAACATCTGATTTGATCTGCGATTGCAGAAGTTGTCAGTATACATAAATCTGTACCATGGATTTATGTCAGGGTCTCAAAACCACACCTGTTACTTACAATGTGATTTGTCTTTCTCTTCTACATGTGCACACTCTCTCCAGATTTTCAAAGCACTCATATGATCACAGGAAGCTGAAAACAACATAAGCCCAGTGTGAAAGCACATCTTGTGAAAAGAATGATTATGTCCAAAACATCATGTTATAGTTTTGACCACACTAAGAAATCACTGAGTTTTCACAGAATCACAGAATAGCTGAGTTTGGAAGGGACCTCTAGAGATCATCTAGTCCAACCCCACCCGCTCCAGCAGGGACACCTACAGCACATGGTACAGGGTGGAATCGAGACAGGTTTTGAAGACCTCCAGAGAAGGAGACTCCACAACTTCTCTGCACCAGCCTCTGGTGCAGAGGCTGCTCCAGTGCTCTGTCACCCTCACAGTAAAGAAGTTCTTCCTCATGGGCAGATGAAACTTCCTGTGTTTCAATTTGTACCCATTACCCCTTGTCCTGTGGCTACTAACCACCAAGAAGAGTTTGGCCCCATCCTGCCTACATTCTCCCCTCAGGTACTTGTACACGTTCATAAGATCCCCTCTCAATCTTCTCTTCTCCAGGCTAAACAGGCCCAGCTCCCTAAGTCTTTCCTAAGATAGATACTCTTGTCCCTTAATTATCTTTGTCACTCTACGCTGGACCCTCTCTAGAAGCTCCACGCCCCTCTTATACTGAGGGGCCCAGAACTGCACCCAATACTCCAGGTGCAGCCTCCCCAGAGCTGAGGAAAGGGGCAGGATCCCCTCCCTTGACCTACTGGCAACATTTTCCTGATGCAGCCAGGATCCCACTGGCCTTCTTGGCCATGAGGGCACACTGCTGCCTCATGGTTAACTTGGTGTCAACCAGGACTCCCAGGTTCCTCTCTGCAGAGCTGCTCTCCAGCAGGTCAGCCCCTATCCTGTATTGATGCCTGGGGTTATTGCTCCCCGGGTACAGGACCCTGCACTTGTCCTTGTTGAACCTCATGGGATTCCTCTCTGCCCAACTCTCCAGCCTGCCCAGGTCCCTCTGAATGGCATCACAGCCCTCCAGAGTGTCAGCCAACCTGCCCAGATTTACTCTGCAAATCTGGAAGTGACATCTTTTCACGGTTAATTCCCTACACAAGGGAAGGCTGCAACTCAGATGTGAATCTGTCAATACTGATCTGAAGTGAGTTACGGATGACTGCAGAGAATCTGGTACTGAAAAGAAATGAAGGAAAGCCAGTAACATGTGATTGGAATTAATTTATCATCAGATAGAGGCACACAGTATTTACTCTAACACACTTCTGAAATTAAACATTTTAAAATATATCACTTAAGAATTTTAAGAAAGTAACCTTGTTCTTCATTGCACAAATGTCGTCTTTTCTGCTGTCATAATACAGACATGTCTGTGTATTAGGAGCTTGTTTGAGGGAATTACATCTCCGTTTTCTCAAGTGCTGGTGTAAAACCTTCATCCCTGCTTTGTTCCTTCCATACCAAATGACTCTGTCTCCTCTTTTGTCCCAGATGACTATTATCAAGCTGGATGTGCCTGGTGCAGAGCTTGCCTATGCAACTCCAGTGGTGGCTCACATGGTTTCCTAACATGTATCTTGATGCCAACATCTGTTTCCTCGTTTCTCTAACTTCACCTTTAACGCTCAGGTCTTCAAAATATAGCAGGACAACTTACTAAGCCAAAAAGCCTTTCTGAAGATGCACAAACCTTCCCATCTGATTTTACAGCTTTTTTTTTAGTTCTACCTTAATGGCAGGATTAAATGCTACCAGCTTCCATTAAAGGATAAGGTAATATCCAACCAACAATTTTCGACCTCCAGGCAAATCCTCCCAAATCCCGCCAAAGCATTTCATCACAAATAACTTGAGGGAATTTCATGTTTCTCAGTGGCATCCAGATGCTGACATCTCTGAAACTCTCACCTGTTTCTGTAAAAGAGATGATATTGTTCGAGTATAAACAGTCTTAAATATTGTGAATATAACAGGATGCAATTTGAGTAAAAACTGTGTCTTAAAATAATTCATGTTTGTGGTTTCTCTAAAATTTATAATTATTTATTTTATTAAATTATCTTCACTTTTACTATTCATACTTCTTATTTATCCTCTAAACTGTCTATTAAGATGGAGAATAAAACTAGACTGATCAGATTTGGTTTTTGAAATCCATCAGGAATTACCAACACAATATCATTATACCTGGATGCAAGCAATTCTGACTGGTAGCATTTAAATCCAAAACAATAACGATTTAAAATTGTATTTTTAAAAATGGTTCTGGAAACATTTCTCATGCTCAATTTGCAACATTTTTTAAGAACAGAATTAATATTTTATGCCTACATTCTGCATCCACATTACATTCCACATTAAACTGGAATTATTTAGAGGGAGCAATATTTCTTACAAGAATGATTAGTGACCTGAGAAGAAAAACCTGACACAGTTACACTTCTCACACATCAGGCAAATACATAGAGCAGATCAGAATGTTTTGTCCAAAGGCTGGAAAACGTCTTAGTGACTCCCAACTGTCTGTAAATATATTGTACTTAAGAAAAACCCGGTGCTCCAAACCTGTAGATAATGTAATATCCCTACTCATTATATAAACTCCATCATTATGGAGAGTGCAAGTCAAGTTAAGGCCTGATTTTGACGTATTCTCTTTGAGGTAGAGCCATTCTTTGGTAGCAATATTGTAGGACTGCACAGTTAACACATCCTCACTTTGGCTGGATTTTTGGTTTGGTCCAAGTTCATGAATACAGCCCCCTACTAGGTATATTGTTTCTTCAACAGAGAGCATCTGTTGCTTTCGAACATGGACATCACACAGTTCAAAGTTGGTCCAGGAATCAGAAGTGGGGCAGTACTGCAAAATGTTCATATTCCTGTCTGAAACAAAGGAGAAATATTTATAAATAAATATTAGAATGTACTCATTGGGGAGGATTCTTCCTCCTCGAATATCATATGAGCAGGTATTACAGATTGCCAACATGTCACTCCACAGCACAACTGTGTAGCAGAACAGGGGAGAAATTTGGGTTATTAAGAACTGCAAGTGTTTCCCCTTGCAATAAAGACCAAAAATTCCTTTTCATTGCAGAGGGAAACATTAAGCTGCTTCTGGCACTTCGATTACAAGATGTAAATGGTCTAGGAGTGAAGATTTTAGCTGAAAAATCCCTATCTGTTAGCTTGGTCTTTTGGTTTTGTCTTTGACTGATACTTAAGAACTTCTTATGACAAGGGAAATGGAGGAATATTCTGCTCTCCACCAGTGATCACAGATGAATCAAATTATCACAAACACAGTATGTTTCATTAATGGTTGCCAGGTGACGATTTCTCATTCCAGCTTTAACTTAATACTTTGCATTTCACTCCACAAATCAAAGTTTTATGTAATAAAATTCATAAAGCTCGTTACATTTCAGCAAGTGGTGTGGATGACCTAAGGGCACATTTTCAGTACCTCGTAAAGAGAGAAATACACACGTTGTCAAAATCCTTTAAGACTCAGGACTCCATACACCAGCATCAGAGAGAGGCTAGAGAAAGGCTGAGTCCCTGTCCGTACTCTAGTCATGGCTCAGTTGATGCATCTATTTATAATACTGCTATTCTATGAAATTTTTACAATACCTCCCTTATTTATGGTTTAGAGGAGACCCTAGCTATGTCCTATACCAAGACTTCACTAAATTAGCACAGAATGCACAGGGACCATGTTTGCTAGTAAATTCAGTTTTAACCTCTGGAGACTAGAATTTAAATTCAAGCTCAAATGACAAGCGATAATATGCTTGCAGACTCCAGCTTGGTCTTACAATAAAACCTGTTTCTTATTACAAGTTTACTCTCTATGATGAACTCCAGATGAGATCACAAGTGGAACAGCAGATAGTGATAAACTGGCAAAGTTATGTAAGGGCACCGGCACAAATAGTCATATTACATATATAGATTTTACATATTATATATATATATATATATATGTATCAGGTTTGTCATGAATGTAGTGCACTAGCAGCATGGTTAAGATGCTGCTGCTATAACATCTGCACAGACAGTGATGACTATTAGTCATTGCTTATTTTGTACTGTCTTCCTGAATACGTAATTCTCATTAAAGAAAGGAAATAAGAGAGAAAAAAATGCATGATAATGCTTTGCAAGACTACTAATCAAAGCTTTGCATATGGATAACCTCTTTATTTAAACCATGTATTATTCTCTGACCCATGATGGGGGGAAAACACTCCATTTCCTCCAGCTGATTTTCCATGTTTATCTAAAACGATAATCTTCCCAGGAATAAAAATGGTGCTATGGTTTGAGATGACAATATGAAATGGAAGTTTATTGTGACATGGCCCTAGTTTTCTGAGTCCACAGTCTGGGTCTTTTATTTCCATAAAATAAAGTTAATAAAAAACAAACATTGAGCTTTTATTGCTCAGGATAGGTGTTGCTGGTTCACAGCTAAAATCCTAGAATTAGGAGTCTTTATTCAAGAATGGTCATTATAATTTACTGTGGAAAATTTCAGATCACAAAAAGTGCAGTCTCAGAAGAAAGATATACATACATTAAAAGAAAAATAAATCCACAAAACCTAACGAAGCCACCGACTTGCTGAGGCACACACAGAAACACTATGTAAAAAAAACAAATGCAGCATGTTGAATATATATTTGGTGAATAGAATGAAACAGCACATGAGGCTCCTTGTGTCTCAGCTAGTTAGATGGGACTAAACACTTTCCAACACCTATGTGGCCCAGGATCTGAATCACCAATGTAACTTCAATAATTCTTGTTTCCAAGTCTGATCGTTGTCCTAAAGCCAAGGTGTCACAGAAAAATGGATTCTAGACCTTGATTCAGGAAAGGATCTTTATTTATAAAATGAATGCTGTCATTAGTGAACTTGGAACTTAAATATAAGCCTAAATGTGTTTGGTTTTGAATTGACTGTTCATACTTCTATTATGTTTTACTATTCTGTTTCCATTAAACACAAATTTTTGGAAAAAGACCTCTTGTGAAAGGACTCCGAATGTCAATGTCAATCCCATAAGATGCGGAAAAGCCAAGATAACTTGTTGACTCTCCTCAACTGGAACTACATGTAATAAGTACTAGATAAGGAGTTTGGCACACAGCAGTCCTGGCAATATATGTTTTGTTACTGAACTTTAAGGGATTAGGACCAGCTTCAGCAACATGCTGCTCTTCCTATCCATAACACCAGGAGGAGGCAAGCTGAAGAAAGAACAGGACAAGCACCAGCAAGACAACTTGCAAAACTGAGGGAAAGTGAAAAGAACAGCTGACACTCGCATAATCCTGTAGCACATTAAACCAATCAGAGTTTTTCCTTCTTATCTATTCTCTCTCTGTAGGTAAAAGAGACAAAAAATAATTCCACTCCCTAGAAACAATGAGTCTTCCTGGCATTCTGTGTTTCAATCTCCCCTCTTCCCTTGTTTCTAAGGATGCTTCTCTTTAGACTTCACAGCAAGTGTCCTGTGCTGGACATCCTTCAGTCCTAGTCCACCTGAACATGTAGGACTCCAGGGAGCACAGTTCACCTGACAGATCCTTTAGTGGGGATGATGAGAAGATCAGGACTAAAGAGCAAACTACAGTGTTTTCCTCCATGTGGAGAGAGGCACTCTAGTATCTTTTGCTTACTTTGGGGAGGTCATCAAGTTCTGGGGCAGAGCAGGATGCTTCTGAAGGTTATCATTACCACAAGGACCACGAGGGGTCAAAACGTATCTACAAACCCTGACACTTTAAAGACAGCTTGCTCTAAAGTCAGTTTAGCTTTCTTTGCAGCAGTTGCTGCAGAAGACGAATCATGAATCTTCTAATTTTATCCTCCACTTGGAAAACACCAAAGTTTTCAAATGATTGTGGTAAAATGAAGTGGGTAAAGAAGGAATTTAAATTCAGGAAAACCTTGTAAATGCTATATATTTGACTTGAAAAAAAAGATTGACTTCTAGTTCTCAGATAAAGAAAGAATATCCCATCCAAAGAATGGCATTAAATGTGAGATCTTTAAGTGGTCTGCTTTTCCACTGGATCAAAAATAATAACAATAAAAAAAGACACCAGTCAGGAGGGAGTGTGTCTTCGAGTCATTCTTACTTTGTGGTCCTCTAAGAAAACTGTTCAAAAAAAGGTAAAAATGCTGGTTTCTGATTAAGCTCATATTCTACTAAGTTATTACAATATTGAAAAAACTTACCTATAGCTTCAACTTGCCTGTGAAGCATTGAAATGCTATAGCAATAGGGTTGTAACACATTCATATTTGAGAAATACTAATGCAGGCAGATATTTTCTTAATATATTTTCTTCTGCCATTCTAAAACAGATATTTAAAAACCTAACAAAACTGTACCATGAATTTGTGATCTATATTTCTGTTTTAAAACCAAAATTTATAAAGAGGAAGGCAAAACTGCATGCCCAAATACTCTAGAAGGCATATTTCCCTCAGAAGAACAGCACCCCAGATCTACATCATTCGTATGTATCAACATATCATCATATCATCAACAGCCCAAATATTTAGCTTTAAAATACATACACTTGTCATCTGTGACTGGAAACCCTAGCATTAGGCTTAGAAAATATCAATCTGATGTCTATATGGCATGGTAAACTTCTGATTTAGCTTGCCAATTATTTTAAAAGAGTGATTTACTTTTGCTTACTGCAATGAGTACTTATACATGGCTTTCTACATCAATTTAAAAGGTTTCCTGAAAAAGGAAATTGATCAGCATCTTAGAATTAATCAAGTTTAAAAGAACTGAGAAGCTTTGTACCTCGTGTGGTGTATCCTCCAATAACATAGATCTTGCCCTTGCACTCGCAAGCGGAGAATTCTGCAAGAGGGTTTGGCATGGATGCCACGAAATTCCACCAGTCGTTTTCTGGGTTGTAACACTCCACATTGGAAAGAGATTGACCACCGACGGCATAGAGCTTTCCGTTTACAGCTAAAAGCTTAAAATTGGACCTGAAAGACACAGATTGTGGCATTGAAATAGGTTAAACAGAAATACAGAAAAATATAGGAATGGGTTCTTTCTAGTCAGGTTCCAACATACTCATCATCACATTCAACATATTCCATCGCTTTATATAGGACAGCACCTGAACTGTTCAGTACCCGTCCAAAACTCCCTGCAACTGATTGTGGCAACGTCCATGTCCACAGATTGTACTGGTGACATTCTGAAAGTTAATGATGTTGAAACTGAGTAATATTTATTTTGGATTTCAATCTATATCAGAATTTGATCTGCAATTGTTAACTAACGTCTTCAGTAGATACCTGATTTTTAGTGAAGTGCCTTTTAGTAAAGTGCTTTGAGGATAGTATATAAAAAATTATATATATATATACAGAGTCAAGAATATTATTTTAGTTAAAGTTTGGGGAAATTCAATTAGGACTCAGTGATTGTCTATGAATGTGTGCTAGTCTTAATCATCAGGACTAGTCTCTTCGGTCTCTTCTAATAAACAGAAATTTAATGCAGTAGATGTTGAATTATGTTCTGCAAAGACAGGAAAAGAGAAACTCTTGTGTCTTAACCTGGATTAATTTAAACTATTATATTCAACTTCCAGCCTACCAAAGCAAGGTATTTTTTAAATGACCATCCCCCTCTTCCTCCAAAACTGAACAAAAGACACCCTGCTTTATTCATGTCTAGAGTTTTGGTTTTAAGTCTGTTCCATTACTCTCTAGTACTTTACACACAACAAAAGGTAGTTTTCTAATTACTGAAGCATAAGAAACCTAACATCTTGTGCTTTTAAGATAACAGAGGAAGAGAAAAATCCAAGATAAACAAAGAAATGCCTCAAAAGGGGCCTGGGAAGTGAAGGGGAAATGAGATCCGTTAACATGAGGTTTAATATTCTTGTAGCTGTAAATGGTATTTTAAAATGCAATATTAAAGATGAAAGTTTGTAGGATCAAAGTGAAGGACCTGAAGCTGGTGTGTTTGCACACTTGTATCCTTCTAGCTACAGCAGATCTGCCCTTCCTCTCTTCAGAAAGAATCTCAGTTACAAGTGTAGCTCATTGCCTAATAGGTCTGTTCCTTTCATACTGTTCATTTCAGGCCAAATCCTTGAAATTTTATCGAGCAGTCAATTGACTGAACATATGCAAGTCATTGCAACAGATAAGCATGAAGCCAACTGAGGCAGTGCACTATGCCTGTAAAACTGAAGGGATGCTATAGCCATCTAAGCAGTAAAGTGAATTTCACTCTGCATGGATTCAAAAATTACCACTTAAGTACTTTTGCAGGGCTTTGTCTGGACAAAATGAACCTTGCCTAGCAGCAGACTGCCCTGCAATTTCTTTTTATTAAATATATTTGGAAAAAGAATTTGTTTCCAGATGGAATCATTTTGTTCTTGTCATCTTGATATAGCTTTGGAAACTAAAATTCTCCTTTGAAGGAATTAATTGCTTTTTATTCATTTTTTTTTGCTGACATTTATGATTAGGTCACTCTGTTCATCTCCTCTCTACAGCAATTATGTTTTCCATCTTAGAGAGTCCATAATAACATGGCAATCAGTAGTGGGTATGAAGTGAGAATAATTATCTGCAAAAGCATGATGATTTTCAAAGCAATGAACTTTTTCTAAGAATTATAAAGAAAAAATCTATAAATAAACAGATGGACCAAAAAATGCAAACTATAAATACATGCATTTTCTAACTAATTTTTTTAAATCAAATATATGTTAGAAAGCCTGTAACTCCGTGTCTGTGCTATGACGGAGATGATACAGTATTTGGGGCTTATAAGATTAGCTCATTTCCAACAGACAGTGTTCATTATCCTCAAGTTGTTCCAGGTATTTTTAAAGAATGGTAAAAGCTCTGCCACAATTTCGCAAGACACACAGTGCTGTAACACAGAAGAAATCTGGTCTACTAACTCACACTTGCTTCTCTAGTCCCCAGTTAACTGTAGCCTCCATACACTCCATCTGCATGGAAGTGATTTTTACCATTTTTGCCTGGCAGCATTCGTATCACAAAACAACTTTTTGCAAGCACAGGGAAAACGATGGGTTGAAAGATACGACTTTCACCTTTTGGCAAAACTTGCAATTATTCTAGAAGGCCACATGCATTTGTTTCATTCAGTTGAGTAATCTAACCACTTTCAACGCTGCTTAAAATAGATGATATGTGGTGCACACATCTCTGACTTCTGGAATGCATTAACTATTAGCTTCAGTTTACTTAAAGGTAGCTATAAGTTGCCATTAGTGCACTTTACATGAGTAGCTGGGACGAATGCTCAAAGCTGTCATGAAAACCCTCTCCCACTGTCACTTCCTTGCACGTAACAGCAGGTATTTATTTGGAAAACAGACATTAGGAAATACTTAGTGTATTAGTACACTCTTTTAATGTGTTATAGCAGCTGGAAACAAGGAAAGCAAACATGGAGCATCGAGCCAGCTCTCCACAGCTAGCAAGTGTTCCATGGACCGCAGCTTGGAAATAACTGGACGTGGTCAAATTCGACTGTGATACAACTGCCCTCACACCAGTGAGTTACCTCAACCTGGGGGATCAGAATTGTTTTCCAAATTCCAGGCCTCGTGTGTATCCTTCTTGCTGGGACAAGAAGCTTACCTGAAATTTGTCCCCTGAGGTCCCTCGCTTCCTCTGAAAGGAAGCCCAGGAACACAAGCAAAATGATACTAAATAAAAATTTTTTCTAAAAATGCAAATAGTTCAAGCAGCCTGGACAAACACAAGATGAAGACTGCCAGGATAACCTGCCCTACAGCTGAGGCAGAAGGGCATTGCAACCTTTCCCTAGGAAAAGAGGGGCATGAATTGGCAGTCTGAGGGGACCTCTAAATCAGAGTAAGCTTGACAAATTGTGAAAACTGCCCAGAATTACCACAACGAAATTCAATAAAGGCAAATGCAAAGTATTTACACAGGAAGGAAGAAAAATCTAATAGGTAACAAAGGACTGGAGGTCAGAATGCATAACTAAATACAAGACAGCATGCCATATCTTTGAAAAAAAATACGTTGTTCTGGGCTGCATTAACAGACATGATATATATGTTAGAGACTATCATAAAAGTGATTATAAAGAGGACAGCAAGCATTCTTCTAGTCCACTGACAGATATCATTCTGCAACATGAAAAAAAAGTTAAGATTAGATATGAAAGAGGACTTTCTGACCAAAATGGGAGCTAAGCATGGAAACAACTTTATATGGAAGGAAAGAGGCTGGAATCTGCACCACTGGAGGGTTTCAAGAACAAGTTTGACATATATTTGCAAGGTAGGCTTGACCCTGCCAAAGAGCAGGAAGGTTTGACTAACTATCCTTTGGTTCCTTCCTGCCCAGTAATTCATATTTTAACCTCAAATTTGTGCACGTATCTTAGCATTTCTTCCTTCTACAGCCAAAAAATTTACAACAAAGAATCAGGAAAGTACAGTTATGAAGGCAATTCAAACACATTTTACATTTCTTGTATGGAGATGTTTTTTATGTGCCTTATCTGAGTCTGCAAGACAAGTTTTGGCAGAGTGTGTGATGAATTTGTGAAAAATGTGACAAATATTTCTAATCTGAAAATCCTTTTAAAGTCTCTTTCCCCTCCAAAACACAGAATAATTCTGAGTGGGAAAAAAAAAAATGTGAGGAAAGAGTTGTTTTCCTAAACCAATACCATTCTCTAGGAATATCTCCTCTTATACTCCTGCAGAAGTCCTCAGAGTGGCAGCAGTTCAGGCACAGATTGCTCACAAAAATCTTGTTCCATGTGCATGTGCAGAATCCCAGCCAGGGGCTTACAAGCACGGAATATTTACCTATCATGCATATTCTGAGGGAAAATAAAAATGGAATATAGAAATGGGCACAGGCAATAGAAATCCTGCAAGTACGTTATTTTTAAAGGGTAAATTTCAAGTGACTGCTTGAATTTAAATCTGTGGAAAGGCATTCAAGCATGTTACTTGAACAGTCCTGAAAGCTCCTTTTATTATTCCTGTCCCCAAAGACCACAAGTGGTCTCAGGCAACTTTTACACGAAGTTTCTTCCTTAAAAAAAGACCAAGTAGTTCTATAAAGTACAGCAGTACAGCATTTACAGTAGCCTTTTTTTAAAATGAAGAGATCAGGGATCTAGAAATTATTTGTGACCGGCAGTAGATCCAGCTTCAGAAGATGACAGGTTGCAAGATTGTTGCAAACATCCTATATGAGCTTAAGCAAACTGTTTTATCGCTCTTCTGCATGCATAAACAGGGTAATAATATACTACTAATAATAATTAGTATTAGTAGCAATAAGTTTTCTTACAGTAATATATGGGAGTTACCTACTGTGGACAAATTTTAAAGTATGGTAATAGGAACTCTGTACTTAGAAAGAAAACTACTAATTGTAACATGAATTAGAATGACTATAAAGTATTCAGTATCCTTCCGATGGCTCTTGTCTCCCATCTGAAACTATCATCTCTTTCAGCTTTGCATGTGCACAGAATCCCAACAATCTACTGTTCTACATTATAATAATGTAAATAATTAAAGAAACAAAGTTTTTTTTTTTTTTTAAAGGGCAGGTAACTTCTTATATTAGAAGCAACATTATTTCCATTATTCATCAACCTTTTCTTCTGGCAAATGCACCTGTTCATACGGGCAAAATCTGCATACTTTTAAAGCATCACCTAAAATCAAACCAACTTCATTTAATGTACATAAAAATTGATCCATGGGACCACATGTAGGATGACACAATTTTTTTTGACAGTGTTGCCCAGCTGTTTCCCAAGCAGCACACAAAGCAACTGCCCTACTTATCTGACTACAGCACAACGAACTAAAAACACAATGCTAAGCAAACTGCAGCTCCAACTGCAGCACATCCACAGCAGACAGGTTTAAGTGCTGCTCCTGTTGAATGCGAACTCCATGGTTCTTAAAATATAGCTGCTGTTGGCTCCTAAAATATAGGCCATACCTTGTACACTGCATTCTGTTTGTATTTTGACCACAAAATGTTAAAATTGGTCAATCTGGTGTCAAGAGTGCAGAAAGGCTATTTCAAATAGAAAACAAACCATCATCACAGATCATATCTTACTTGCTATGCGCATTATACAAACCAATGCCTAGATCTTGTAATTTGATCCATATTTCCATATTTGTTTACATAGGAGACACTGTGGGCTGACCCCTTCAGGCACTTTCACCAAAGCCAATGAGTTCTCAGTCATGCTCATGCAATCAGGACTGCAAGCTCAAGGCCTCATAAAGTGGCTCAGTTCTCAAAGTCACCTCAGGGAAGGGGAGTCTGCCAAAAGGCATTTACACTGTGTAAGAAAGCACTTAAAAGAAAATCTAAATACTCATTTCACAACAGACTTTCTTCAGAGCCCTTCCAACAAACCAGAGAGACATTTTCTCATCAATTCCAATGACTGATTGCAGATGCAGTAATTCTAGTTGAATTCTCAAAACAGTACAAGAAATGAAAAAAAAAAAAAAAAAAAAAGGTCATCCCTCTGTTTTATGGAGTTTTAAATTGCAAACTCACTGGAAAAGAGACTGCAGTTTTACTACACAGATAAAAAGTACACATGCCTCGCACTGTGACTAGGGTCTCTGCTGCTTTGTGAACATTTAATTTACTGGATGGAAAAGAGATTTTCCATTTAATGGTCAATTTCGGCATCCTTTTCTGTTCCAGTTCTGAGTCAGATTGAGATGATAAAAGTTTAAATGCTATTTTGTGTAAAATTGAATCAATGAAGAAATCCATCCTGAATGAACAGAAACATTTTGTTTCAAAGAAGTAAAAGGCTGCATTTTGATAACCATGCAATGAGCTGGCTTAGGTAGAACAAATCCTGCCTTGGACAGTGGTATAGGAATCTGTTTTTGGCGTTCCTTGCTCTCTGCCATTCTTTCAAACATAAACTACAACAAATGATTGTGAATATTATCTAAAACATAAATGTCAAACAATTCAAAAAGGCATAGGAAGAAAGTTCTGTCTTTTTCTGACCTTTTTTTCCCCTGAGATCTTCAAAACCTGGTTGGATGCAGCCCTGTGCCACGTGCTCCAGGTGACCCTGCGTGTGCAGGGGGGTTGGACTAGATGACCTCTGAAGGTCTCTTCCAACCTTAAGGATTCCATGATTCTACGAGACCCAGGCCTACAGGATATTCAGGATTTTGTGACGTTTTATGAAGTTACAAGCCAATGGAGAACTGCTCCAGCTAAAGTTTCTCCACCTTTCCCTAGCTCTGATGTGTGCTACATTTCCACCAAGAACAGTAAACCTTGTCACATACAGTACTAGATTCAAAACGCACCAAACAAACAATCAATCAAAGAATGGAAAGGCAGATTTTATCTTTACTTTGCTATCTTAATATGCATTTCTATTTCCTGCAGAGGCAGCTTTTTGGAAACTAGCTTCACAAACCTCCTCGTATGCTGCTACAGCTTGAAAGCCGGAGCCCACCTCCACGCTAAGATGAACAGCTATGGGGCAAGGAGGTCAAGTGCTCCTCAGCTGGCGCCTTGCTCGCGCTCTCCACAGCCCAGGCCTTCCTCACCAGTGTTATGCACCAGAAGTCCATCCTCCTTACCCTGCCTTGCCACAGCAAGGACCTGTGCCAGGCACAGGTCACTAAGAAGGAGGGTGACTGCGGTTCTGCGCTGCTAGATGGCTCTTATCGGCAAGGTCTGCGTCTGCCAGGCCTAGCCAGTGGCACGCTGCCAAAATATATAGCCAAGCACCGCGAGTCCTTCCCATGGCATGAGGCAACACACTCTGGTGACTCACGGTACAACCAGAGGCCTCAATCACATCTTGCGACTCTGCGTCCAGCCAACACCATGTGACTCAAGAGGGTTTTTTTGACTATACGCGTGGACACGTGCACTTCAGGGCGCACAGGTTACCTCTTCTGGTTCATTGAAGCCAGTTGACTCCACTCATTTAGGCAAGGGTTGTAACAGTGGGCAGCAGAGATCTCCTGGCTGGTGATGCGGTAACCACCGACAATGAACAGGTAGTTGTCCAGCATCGCGGACCCATAGCCTCGGACGTTCACCAGGTCAGCGGGCATGTTGTTGGCCATGGGCAACCACCTCTGGGCTTCTTCGTCATACCTCAGCATTGACCAGGGAGCTTCCACCTGCGGGTGACAGCCAGGAGGCTGGCCCAGGGAGGAGGCACCCATGAAGTCCCCGATGGCCACAAGGGTGGCAGTGCCCTTCATCCGCCTCTCCTTCAAGTGTTGCTGGAGAGCATGGGGCAGAAGGAGATGTGGCCGAGCATCAGGCCTCCTCAGCACCTGATGGTAATGGGCAGCCATGAAGTCTAGACAGGCATCGTGTAGGTCCTGGAGACCGTAGACCTCAGCCAGGCGGTGCAGCTCCAAGCAATTGCCCAGCTTCACCTGGGAGAGCAGCAGTCGGAGCAAGGGGGTGACCTGCAGGTAGGAAGCGGCCTCCACCAGCTCCTCCAGCAAGGGAGGCTCCTCATCGCCCTCCTCCTGCTGCTCCAGCCTGGCCAGGCACGAGGTGTTGATGAAGTCCAGCACGAGCTCCAGGCCCAGCGCGCTGAGCCCGCCGCGCAGCAGCTGCTCCTGCTGGCCTTGCCCTGCCTCCCGCATGCCCGAGCGGTACAGCGCACGGAAGTAGTCGCTCTGCTCGATGAGCTTCCTCTTGCACACCGGGTAGCACTTGTCCCCCAGCCGGATCTGCACCACCTCCTCCCCGCCCGCCGCGGCCCCGGCCCCTTCGCCCTCCTCCTCTCCCTCCTGCCGCCGCCGCCCCGCCAGGGACATGGCTCTGCCGCCG